GTTGTGCTGCAATTATGGACAGTGAGTCAAAATGCATTCTGCTGTCATATATACCTAATTAAAATTTTTTAAAAATAATGGGATACATTGTCTTGGTTTGGGGTTTTAATGCTGATAAAGAGACAGTAGCTAGGGGGCTGAAGGAGGTGGGGCCAGGGTGGAGTTGTGCAATTTTGTGCTAATTTTCCTCGTGCTGGTGCACTGTCCTTGCACGTTCCAGTCATGCCACGCCTCATTCGAATCTTCAGGGGTGTGTGTCCTACTGTCATAATGAGGCCAGGGTCATTTCTTGGTCACCAAAGTCTTCAATGCACATAGTCTCTGAAGGAATGGTTCCTGTAGTTGATTTGTGGTTGCTGGAGGTTTTGTTGCTTTTTCATCAGCCAATCATCAAGCTGCAGGCAAGGATTCAGATGAAAGGGATAGGGGCTGGTCACTCCCAAGTAGTTTGTTCCGCATTCCAATGGTTTCCAAGTGTTTTTTCTTTTGAGACTCAGTATTCTCTTCGTATCCCCAAATTTCTATTTCAGGACCATGATGAGGTCAGAACTGCCATGGAGGAGTAGAGAGGGGCCATCTGGTTATGTCAGTGTCCTCTAAATGTGTGGGTATTCATTCGTGAGCAGAATTGTTAGGATATAACCCCCTTCCCAACTGCCTACGTCTTCTCCTAAAAGATAAATTGGGGGCATACAAACATTCTTCATGAAGGTTACATTGGTGTGGCTCTTTTCAATACAAACTTTATAGGTCTCTGTCTTGTATTTTGATATTCCTGGACCACACTTTATTGGGCTTCTCATCACAGATATCCTAGGCCTCAGCACAGTCCTTTATTTTGATGGCTATGGTATATACTTTATTAGCTTGGGAATTTGGGACAAAATTTTACCTAAAGTGAGACCCGATTGTGAGTAGCCTGGAACTGATTTCCCTGACCCAAGTCACCAGGTTGTTACCGGCTGTCTGACTCTGGTACTCCTTGTTCCAAAGGGAAAAGTGAAAAGAGACTTTAAAATAGTTTTCTGCTATATATAGTAACCATCTTTGGATATAAATGCCTAATAACTCAAGTTCAAAGTCTTATTTAAAAGTAGAATCTACATGAGCTATGTGAAGACCCATGAAAAATATAATTTTTCCCCCTACAGATCATCATGTTAAACTCAGTTTCTGACCTTCATGGCTACATTGACAAAAGTCAGCTGACACAGGAGTTAGGGGGAACTCTGGAATACCGCCACAGTCAGTGGATAAATCATCGCACTGTGAGTATTGACTTGTTTGGGCTTTTCTTCCTCTCTTTGTTTTCCAGAAGACAGGGCAATTAAAGATCGGCAGTTGTGAGATCACTGCAGGTGGCTGCCTGGCCTTGGGAATATTGGGATTTCTCAGCTACCGACTGGTGAAGAAATAAGGTGTAAGGGTAAAGGCTGAGTTTTTTCCGCTGACCACAGAACCTCCCTGTATCTTTTGGTGCAGGGGCTTTGGCAGTCTTAACTTGGGGTGCTCCTGGGAGTTTTAAAAAACCAACACCCTGCTATGTATATCTCATGAATTTTTTTTTTACTTGTTCTAGAATGGATCTCACACATTAGAATTTCATAAATCTTCCTGGATGATTTCAATGTACGTACAGATTGAAACCCAGGGAGTTAGAAGAAGCTGTACTTAAATATTGCCAAAATTACTTATTGCCTGAAC